AATGAGGGTGGCTGGCTTTCGCATGGAAAAATTATTGATTGGTTTAGAGTTAGCACCTGATTATACCCTTTATCAATTATAATTTATTATTTTTTTTCTTATTTTGTAATTAGTTAATATAAATTTGTGAATTCTATCTCTTCTATCAATCACAATATTATTAAGACACCATACCGCAATACCCCAAGACCAACTAATAACTTCTCCTGCACACAATAATCTGACATAAAGAATTGCCCTCGTGTTTCTCGAGTTGAGCATCAAATTACATGAATATAATAACTTTTCCAGTACACAATAATCTGAGATGAAAAGTTGCCCTCGTGTTCCTCGAGTTGAGCATCAAATTACATTAATATAATAACTTCTCCTGCACACGATAATCTGACCTGAAAAATTACCCTCGTGTTTCTCGAGTTGAGCATCAAATTCCATTAATATAATAACCTCTCCTGTACACAATAATCTGACATGAAAAGTTGCCCTCGTGTTCCTTGAGTTGAGCATCAAATTACATTAATATTATAATATTCCCAACATTTCATCTAGAGCCAAACACACTCCTATGTTAAACTCCCTTTAGGATATCTAAACCCAACTTCAAACTTGATAGTAGGTGTGACCAAACACCCCATTTCAACACAAAAAAGAAAAAGAAAAAAAAAGAAAAAGAAGAGGTGCATATTTTTTTACTTCATTGTCTTCATTCTTCCCTCTCTTACTTCTCTCTACATTCTTTCTCGTTTTCCTTTACTTTCTTGGTGTCCAAACACCACACCCTTGCTCCACCCTTACACCATCACCTTAACCCACCATCTCCACCACCTCTGGCCACCTTATCTCGCTGGAAAAAGGGTCCGGTCAGCCACTCCTTCACTCCATCCGAAAATAGCACAATAGAAGTACCAACTCTAGATTTTTCTTAATCTTTTAAAGAATCAAAGCTTGGGGTTTATTTTCTTGATGGATTAGAGGCTTGTAATTGCTAAGAATCTTTCTCTAAAAGTTTAGTTTAAGGTTTTACATATTTTGAGTTAAAGATGATGAAATTTTTTCTATTTTAGATCTATTGTGATTTGGGGTTTGATTGTTGAGTTTTATACTCTCAATTAGTTTCTATGAATGTTTTACATGTAGAAAATGATCAATTTGATGGTTGTTTTGGAGATTAAGATTTGGGTTAATCTAGGGTTTGAATGTGATGTAAAAATAGAGAATTTTGGTGTTAGGAAATTTATATGTTGAAATTGATTTGATAAATGGTGAATTGAGTATCTCTATTCTATGGAGGAATTTTATAAATGATTGAAGTGATTTTACTTAAGTTGTTGAGTTTATGAAAAATGTTGATTTTTGACTTTTGTAGTTAATTGATGGTGATACTGTGCATATAAATTGATTAGATATTTAAAAAGTTACTATCTCAAAAATGTACAAAGAATGAGTGTTGTGGAGATTGGATAAGTTATTTTTTTGGGTGACTTGAAGTTGGAGGAGTTCTTTAGCTTGTCATTCCATAGCATAACATATTTAGGATTATTTTTGTAGATGTTGTAATTTTCATTGAAAGTTTTTTCCTAATTTTAGATCCTATTTACTAATTGTTAGGATTGGGGAAAGGCGTCTCTACACCTCTTGGGAATTAATTTGTAGAGTTTCAAATCTACGCTTTTGCTATTTTTGGAGGTGAGTATACTTATCGTGGAAATTACCTTACCTCTATCTTTATTACAAAGTTTGAAAATAATTTTTAAATTAAAGGAATTGAATGATACATTTCATTATGATATATGTATAAAAAGAAAATCTATAAATTTATTGAGGCCAATGGTTGAGTTTAAATAAATATATGATGTCATTTGTATAATGAAGCATTAATTTTTTATGAGAATTTATTTAAGTTGAGTCCTTCAAATTTTATGATGATAATGATTGAATGACAATGAAACATTATGCGATGGTATTTATTTTATTGATCATATAACCCAATATAGCCTTTGGGGCCACAAGGGCCAAAATGCTTTGAGGTCCTGGGGACTGAAATGTTTTAAGGACCATAAGGGTCGTTGTATATATGAGAGGTCCCGGGGACCGAAACACTGAAATGAGAATTGAAGTGCTACAATGACATGAGTTATGTTCCTATGGTTATGTTTTGTGTAACGCTACTGTCATCACCTAAGTCGCGAGGTAACGCGACCCTAAGGCTATGTAATTGTTTGTATGATGAACATGAAATATTAATGTATTGAAAAGTTGCATTTTTGTTTACTTTCATTATTCAAATGTATTTTTTTTTTCTGCCTTATGAGATTCCTTGGAAAAATCTTGATAACGTTTTATGAAAATTTTATTTCATTATTTTTATTTTTTATTATTTTGTATAAATTTCAGTTCAATTAAGCTCTTATATTTATTATCTTTATTTTGAACGCAATTGGAAGGAGCAATTTTTATAACTCCATGGTATTAGTATACTCATTGGGCTTTAGCTCATTCGTTTTAAATAATTTATTTATTTATTTATTTTTTATTTTTTTTTCAGATTCATAGACTTTTGTGTGGCTCGCCTCAACTTGGAAGAATAGAGTTTCTGGAGGATGAAATGTGGGCATCTTGTAGTTGAGGTTTTTGCTTAGGGTCACTCTAGGATGTAGTTTTATCCTTTGTTTTTATGAAGGAGGTTGATTGTAAATATTTGCTTTATGAAGTTAGATGTATTTTGGTGTTAGGAAATTTATATGTTGAAATTGATTTGATAAATGGTGAATTGGGTATCTCTATTCTATGGAGGAATTTTATAAATGATTGAAGTGATTTTACTTAAGTTGTTGAGTTTATGAAAAATGTTGATTTTTGACTTTTGTAGTTAATTGATAGTGGTATTGTGCATATAAATTGATTAGATATTTAAAAAGTTACTATCTCAAAAATGTACAAAGAATGAGTGTTGTGGAGATTGGATAAGTTATTTGTTTGGGTGACTTGAAGTTGGAGGAGTTCTTTAGCTTGTCATTCCATAGCATAACTTATTTAGGATCATTTTTGTAGATGTTGTAATTTTCATTGAAAGTTTTTTCCTAATTTTAGATCCTATTTACTAATTGTTAGGATTGGAGAAAGGCATCTCTATACCTCTTGGGAATTAATTTGTAGAGTTTCAAATCTACGCTTTTGCTATTTTTGGAGGTGAGTATACTTATCGTGGAAATTATCTTACTTCTATCTTTATTACAAAGTTTGAAAATAATTTTTGAATTAAAGGAAGTGAATGATACATTTCATTATGATATATGTATAAAAAGAAAATCTATAAATTTATTGAAGCCAATGGTTAAGTTTAAATAAATATATGATTTCATTTGTATAATGAAGCATTAATTTTTTATGAGAATTTATTTAAGTTAAGTCCTTCAAATTTTATGATGATAATGATTGAATGACAATGAAATGTTATGCGATGATATTTATTTTATTGATCATATAATCGAATATAGCCTTTAGGGCCAAAAGGGCCAAAATGCTTTGGGGTCCTGGGGACCGAAATGTTTTAAGGGCCATAAGGGTCGTTGTATATATGAGGGGTCCCGGGGACCGAAACACTGAAATGAGAATTGAAGTGCTACGATGACATGAGTTATGTTCCTATGATTATGTTTTGGGTAACGCTACTGTCATCACCTAAGTCGCGAGGTAACGCGACCCTAAGGCTATGTAGTTGTTTGTATGATGAACATGAAATATTAATGTATTGAAAAGTTGCATTTTTGTTTACTTTCATTATTCAAATGTTTTTTTTTTTTTTTTCTGTCTTATGAGATTCCTTGGAAAAATCTTGATAACGCTTTATAAAAATTTTATTTCATTATTTTTATTTTTTTTATTTTGTATAAATTTCAATTCAATTAAGCTCTTATGTTTATTATTTTTATTTTGAACGCAATTGGAAGGAGCAAGTTTTATAACTCCGTGGTATTAGTATACTCATTGGGCTTTAGCTCATTCGTTTTAAATAACTTTTTTTTTTTTTTTTTTTTTTCTCAGATTCATAGACTCTTGTGTGGCTCGCCTCAACTTGGAAGATTAGAATTTTTTTTAAGGATCAAAGGTGGGCATCTTGTAGTTGAGGTTTTGCTTAGGGTCATTCTAGGATGTAAGTTTATCATTTATTTTTATTTTTTTATGAAGGAGATTGATTGTAAATATTTGCTTAGAAAGTTGGACGTATTGATGGATTCGTGAATAGTATGTTTTATTTTTGGAGAAGTGATGCTTGGGAACTATCTTGTAGCATGATGATATTTTTGTCTTTGAATGGTTCATCTCATATATGTTGGAAAATTGAAAGGTCTTATGCACTTTTGGTGATGTGGTGATGTGATGTAAGAATTATCCAGGAATTGTTGTGTAAAGGTACTATAGCGTTTGCGGTGTACCCCCTTGGCGGGGTTTTGCCTTGCCAAGATTGGGTCATTACAAATATAATAACTTCTCCTGTAGACGATAATCTGACATGAAAAGTTGCCCTCGTGTTCCTTGAGTTGAGCATCAAATTACATTAATATAATAACTTCTCCTGCACACGATAATTTGACATGAAAAATTGCCCTCGTGATCCTCGAGTTGAGCATCAAATTACATTAATATAATAACTTCTCCTGTGTACGATAATCTGACATGAACAGTTGCCCTCATGTTCCTCAAGTTGAGCATCAAATTACATTAATATAATAACTTCTCCTGCACACGATAATCTGACATGAAGAATTGCCCTCGTGTTCCTCGAGTTGAGCATCAAATTACATGAATATAATAACTTCTCTTGTACACGATAATCTGACATGAAAAGTTACCCTCGTGTTCCTCGAGTGAAGCATCAAATTACATGAATATAATATATATATCATACATGTACATATATATGAATATTTATCCTCACAGCAAATAGCAAGTATAGCACCGTTTAAAAAAAAAAATAAAAAAATAGCAAGTATAGCAAGATGAGAGTGATAGCAGCAATATTAAACATTGTTCTCGCAATTTGCAGCCTTGGAATCCAAGGTTACGTCCCGTCCTATCCCTCCATCTCCTTCAATGTGACAGGTGCCACCTTGATCATATACAAAGACTTCATGTGGCAACTGCGAGAAATCGTGTCATGGAGAACCCGTACAAATAATGATCTACCAGTGCTGAACCTCGAAAGTGATGTGTTGGTTGGGCACCGGTTCGTTCTGGCCGGTCTCAGCAATGACACTAACGACACAGTCACCTTGGCAATAGATGTGGTGAACCTTTATGTTGTGGCTTATTGTTTCGATAACGAATCCTACTTTTTCGACGACGCTACACCACTTCAACTCAACAATTTATTCAACAGCACCCATCAAAACCAGTTAGACTTCAACAACAGCTATATCAGCCTTGAGAAAATCTCAGGAGTTAACAGGACCGAACGTCCTCTGGGACCAGGTCCCCTACTTGACGCCATCGCAGTGTTGTGGTACAGTGGGAACTTGCCCCCATCGGTCATAGCCGAATCGCTCATTACGTTCTTTGAGATGGTCTCGAACGCGACAAGGTTCAAATACATTGAGGAACAAGTCCGCGAAAGCATAACCCGTGCAAACACTTTTACACCAAAAGGTTTGATAGTGAGCATGGAGGACGAATGGAGGTCTATGTCCAAGCAAGTTCTGCTTTCGCCAGATGGAGAAAACTTCATTAACTTCGTTCAGCTTCAAAATGACAATAACTAGGCCCTCAAAATAAACAACTTTACTGCACTCAGTCGCTATACCATGATAGCGATTCTTCTCGGCAACCAGACTACTAGTAGTAGTTATAGCAATATTGCTCTTGCCGAGGACTTCGTCAACAACGAATTGCTCAAACTCTGAAACTGCGGTAACTGCCTAAACCCCATATGTCGCCCTTAAATAATTCTAGGTAACCTCCTTTCTTCCCAAACTGGTTTGAGAGCATAAAATAAACGGTTACCCTTCATCTTCCTCCACAGATAAGTCTACTTTGTATTTCGTTTTGGACTCCTTTGTGTATTTCCTGATCAATGTGGGGGTTAATGTGATATATTGGCATATGGATTTCTTCTTCTTCATCTTCTTTTTTATTTTTTCTTTTTTTTCTTTTTTTTCTCTTGTGTTGCATCTATTTTAATATATGTTAGAGGCCCCACACACGCGAAAAAAAAGTTATCAAAATAATATTGTGAGAAAGATATATGAAAAAAATTAGAATTAAAGAGTAAGATTAATAATAATTTCATTCAAACTGAAAATATATACAAATATTTTAAAAAGTAGTACAATATTTACAAAATATATACACGTATTTAAAAATGATATATGATGAATCTATAGAAAATTTAATTTTGGTGGCATGAGACTGAGAATATAATTGCAAATCCTACAAAAAAAAAAAAAAAAAAAAAAAAAGGGAGAAAAAAAAAGATATAGACCAAATTAGTATAATTTAATTTATTGTGCAAAGATTAAAATAAAAATTTACTTCATTCAAATGAGAAAAAACTATAACTTTAATTTTTTGTTTATGCAATTGATTGATTGTGTTATATATGAAGACAACGAATATTAATATCATTATTTTTTTTAAATGAAAATTAAAAATTAAAAACTTACATTTTAACATTGAGTCATGTGATTCAAAATTAGATGTCCGATTCAATAATCTATTAAAGTTGTTTTGACACAAATCTGTGAAAATATTAAATTACATATAAAGAAACAAATAGTGAATAGATCTTCTTCATGTTGTCACGGTAAAGACATTTTATGATTCTTTAGAGTGAGAAATTGGTATGTGTAATAAATAAATTAAAAAAGGAAAAATAGAAGAAAAAAAAATTCAGTTTATGAAAAGAAAAGAAAAAAAATCAAATAACGCACATTTTTAGAGATCTCCCAAAAAAATATATAGAAATTAGTATTAAGACATCAATAAGATAGATAAAAAAAAATTAATATGAGCTGTACAGTGCACATAATTAAGCATATTCTATCTTTTTTTATTATTTATTTTGTATGTCAAGATAAATTATTTTTTTTCAAATATCATAATAATTAAATTAAAAATACACTATGAAAAACAAATATTTCTCAAATAAAGTCTATATAAAATTAGTTATTATAATTAAAATTGAATTTGTGTAAAACTTTATATATAAATGAAAAATGCATACTGATGTGATTTTTTTTGGAAAAAAAAGTAAGCCTTAGAATTAGGAGTGTAAAAATGACTCGCAGCCCGGGAGTAGGCTGGGCTCGTTTGGGCTCGGGCTCAAGCCCCTGGGCCTGGACCATCATTTTGAAGCTCGGCCAGGCCCATTGGCCCACTCGAGGCCCGGCCCACAAGAGGCCTAGTGTCTTTTATAGTGAAAAATAATAAAATTTTGGTAGAAAAAATTTAAAAAAACAAAAAAAAAATGGTCAGGCCCGCCCAACCCTGGCCCAAGGCCACCCCACTGGCCTGCCCAAGGCTCAAATACCCCTCGGCCTAATTTCTTGGCCTGTGGGCCAATTCGATCCAGCCTGAATTTTAGCGGGAGCTCGCAAGGCCCGACTTGGGCTAGGCCGAACCAGATTTACACCCCTAGTTAGAATGTGCTACATAAGAAACAAAAAAACACTACTTATATATATATATATATTTGGAGCACATATTTATTTTATGGGTACTCGGTTCATAAATTCAATTTAATTTTTTTTCTTCTAAGAATCCACACTTTAAAAAGTACATTAAGGAGTTTTTTAGCATTTTTGTGTTACAATGGAGTATTACATTTGGGATTATATTGATTGGAATGTTACATTTGGAAAAAATACACTAAAGAGTTTTTTTGTATATTACATTGGAATGTGTTATATTGGAATGTTACGTTTAGGGGGAAAAAAAAAATACACTAAAGAGTTTTTTACCATATTACATTGAAGTGTTACGTTCTTATTCATAATGTGAGATTTGTTTCAGAAAAGGAAAAATCCAAGACCTTTATAGTGTGGATTGCTTAAATGTGTTTGGAGAAACACACTTTTATCCCTAAACAATTAAACTCAAACGTGTAAGTGACTATTATTTTGTATAATTTTCACTTTAATGAGACTTTTAGGTTCAGAAGAAAAAAAGAATAATTAAATAGTTCATAAGATCACATTTAGAAATTTATTGGTGCTTTAACTGTAAAATAAAATACGAACATGAACCAAAATAGAGACAAAAAAATAAAGGAAAAAAGTGTTTTTTTATTTTTATTTTATTTTAATCACAATGATTCATTATTTTTAATAATTCATAAGAGACTTTTGTGACATAACCAAAATTATTTATAATTATCACTACAAATATAAACCCCATAACAAATTCATAATTGTTTTTAGTAGAGAATTGTGTACATAGTCTTTTTAAAGATAAATATTTTAATAAATAATAAAATTAAACAAGATAGAGGAGCCAAATTAAAATAAAATAATCAAAATGAAGAAAACCGAGGAAGGCATAAAGGGGTGAATTTTCCACAATACCCCTTTAAAAAAAAATTGACAAAATGGGAAAAGGAAAAAGTAAGAGACATGGTATGAACAGTAAATCACTGTAGCAAATGGCTTAATTCTAGTATTACATAGTAGAAAAAGGATTGGGCTTTCCATTCGCTCGTGATCAATCTAGAGGGTATTGTTGAATTCGCGGGGCCCATCACAAGATCATAAGTCCCGTTTCGATAATCTGAACCGTTCAATATATAGAACTCGTTGAGTATTGTATACTTGTAAAAAAATCACGTTGATCGGATATCGATAGCTATCTCATCGGATCAGATTTCTATCAAACGTTTATTTTTTTACCATTCATTTTTTTTTATATACAAAACTGATTTGATCACATAACTATCGATATCTGATCAACATAATTTTTTACAGGCATATAAGCCCTGTTTGGTAGAGCTGTAGGAAAGTGCTTATAGCTTATGCCTTAACAGCTTATAACTTATAACTATGAACATAAGCTGATTTCTGACTTACAAAAAGGTATAACCTGCATTGTTAAGCTAAACCAAACACATCAGAATAGCTTAAATTAAGCTGAAAGCTGAAATAAGCAGCTTTTAAGCTGCACCAAACAGGCACATAGTACCGGAGGAGTTCCACACACGGTTCAGATTATCGAAACGGGACTCGTGGTGGACCCCAATGGGCTTAACAGTACCCTCTAGTTCGTCGTGGGAAGCGAGGCCCTTGAAAATAGAAGTAACCATATGTAGGGGTGGAAATTTGTTTGACCAGGCCCATCCAGGCCCGGGCTCGGGCCGGCCCATATTGGGCCTCGCATGCTCCCGCCAAAATTTGGATCAGCCCGGGCCGACCATGGGCCCGAAAATTAGGCCCAGACCTAGGCCTTGGCTTATTTAGGCCTCAGGTCAGGCCGGTGGGCCTGGGCCTTGGATTGGTGGAACATCCCGAAATAAATGCAGTATGCCATCCAAAACAATAAGTAAATAACAATATGAATCAGAGTATAATGTCTTTTTATTACATGAGATTCGATTGTACAAAAATGTGACACATGCGATATACATTCATAAATAGTGCATTCTGAATCTACAGCATGTGTTACGAATCAATAAAAAGAGATAAAAGCTAAATATATAAATCATATTTCCTAAAGGCTTACATTTTTCCAATCCAAGGCTTGGGTACATCAAAGTGAGTCCTAAGCTTAACAAAGATATAAGGGTGGAATGCATATGCAATGCCCATGTCAAAACGGTTTACATTTCTTTCTCAAAATCATGCCATGCTTTATTTATATCACAATTCTCAAATCATTTTCTCCACCATAGGGAACAAGGGGAAATTCTCCAACCGGTACAACCTTTCACGAATATTTCGTCCGCAGGAAACCGTCAAATGGAACCCATATAAACGTAGTCTATACAAGTACTACTATTGTCATTTTACGGATAATTTTTCTGTAGGAATCGGCTCCCATGTATACGCACGCTTTTCGGGACTTTCACCCTGGACACACAGGTCAACTTAATTTGGTGATACACACATCTTTCCAACATTTACCCCCTTTTCTCAAAATCATATATATTTACAATGTATTAAATGAGCAACAAATGTTCAAATCATATGGATAAGAAATTAGTTTCAATTCACCTAATCCTTATGCAATTTCTATAACAATCATAGACATCCTCTACCGATAAATATTTCTAAATAGATATAAAATCTTCAATACAGATAAACTTTCTAAAATTTAAGATGCGAGTGATAATACATATCCAATTCCATCATCCATATCAATATCCATCTAATTTCACATTTCCAACATCAATTCCATTTATTTATACAAAATAAATATTTAGAACATTTAGGGCAAAATCCATTTTCTTCCAAAACCCAACCCAATGATCAAAATCAACAATTTGTTCACAACTCAATCTCATTTCCACTTCCACAACCATTTTCCATATAACCATTTAAAAACCCCTGTTTTGATTTTAAACCAAACCCTAGGTTTGTTCAAAATCCTCAAAAACCACATGATTGTTTATGAAAAACAAATAGTTAAGTTAAAAATCATAGAAGAGTGTAGAGAATCCCTACCTCAAAGCTAGAAGACCAAGGAGAGAGCAGAGAAATCTCAAGGAAGCCGAAATCCATTTGGTAGTCAGATGAAAACAAAACTCTAGGTGAGCTCTACCTTTTTAACAAAGAGA